GACCTGCTCGAGTCTAGTGTATCGACAGTGATCTACGAAGCCGCCCATGCTCTCACGACACTTACTAACAATCCCGTGGCTGTGAAGGCGGCAGCAGGCAAGTTCATCGATCTTGCCATCAAGGAACCCGACAACAATGTTAAACTCATTGTTCTCGAAAGAGTAGACCAGCTGAGGCAAAAAAATGAAGGTGTATTGGATGATTTGACAATGGAAGTTCTCCGTGTACTTTCGAGCCCAGATTTGGATGTACGAAAAAAGGCGCTCAACATTGCTCTTGAAATGGTTACCAGCAGGAATGTCGAAGAAGTTGTACTGCTCCTCAAAAAGGAACTCATGAAAACGGTCGATGAGCAATACGAAAAGAACTCCGAATACCGGTCCCTACTTATCTCCGCCATCCATCAATCTGCTATTAAATTCCCCGAAGTCGCTGCAAGCGTGGTTGGTTCACTCATGGACTTCATTTCGGATGTCAGCAGCAACGCATCCGCCGTAGACGTAATCTCTTTTGTTAAGGAAGTCGTTGAACGCTTCCCTGACCTTAGAGCTTCGATCGTCGAACGTCTTGTAACTACGTTGGGAGAAGTCCGCGCTGGCAAGGTGTATCGTGGTGTTCTTTGGATCATTGGAGAGTTTTCTCTGGAAACAAAGGACATCAGGGATGCCTGGAAAGGAATTCGATCTTCTTTAGGCGAAATCCCCATCCTTGCGTCAGAACAACGATTACTGGACGAGGCATCCGAAGGCAAAGAGCCTACTGATCAAGTGAACGGTCATGCCAAACCTGCGGCTCCATCAGGCTCCCGGAAGGTTCTTGCGGATGGCACATATGCTACAGAGAGTGCGCTTACCTCTTCAGCCGCGGCCAAGGCAAAATTGGAGGCCGTTAAGAATTCTCAAAAGCCCCCGCTACGTCAGTTGGTACTGGATGGTGACTATTATCTGGCTGCGGTCCTTTCAAGCACCCTTACCAAGCTCGTCATGCGGCATTCGGAGATATCAAATGATGCAGCACGCACGAATGCTTTGCGGGCAGAAGCCATGCTCATCATGATTTCCATTATTCGTGTCGGCCAGTCACAATTTGTGAAGACCCTCATTGATGAGGACTCTGTTGACCGAATCATGTCATGCGTTCGATCTCTCTCCGAGTTCGCGCAGAGAAAAGAACTGGAAACAGTCTTCCTTGAGGATACGCGGAAATCGTTCCGTACCATGGTTCAGACGGAGGAGAAGAAACGAGCAGCGAAAGAAGCCATCGAGAAGGCTAAGTCTGCTGTGAACGTTGACGACTCATTCTCGATTCGGCAGTTGAAGAAGAAAGAGTTGAATGGAACTGACGAGATAGAACAAGATTTGGAGAGGGCCACAGGAGGCGATACGGCCACGGAAGATCTCACCTCGAAGCTCAGTCGTGTCGTGCAGCTCACAGGTTTCTCCGATCCCGTTTATGCTGAAGCCTACGTCAAGGTAATTTCTCTACCGTCTACCGAAATGATCTCGTACTAAGTTCCAATCAGGTACATCAATTCGACATTGTTTTGGATGTTCTTCTTGTCAATCAGACAACTGAGACACTCCAAAACCTCACTGTGGAGTTTGCTACGTTGGGTGACCTCAAAGTTGTGGAGCGCCCTCCGACGCAAAACGTTGGCCCGCACGACTTCATTAATCTTCAAGCCACTATCAAAGGTACCACGTATTGCGCCAAGCTTTTAACAATACCTGCTTACATGCAACAGTGTCTTCAACCGATACCGGTGTGATATTTGGTAATGTTATATATGAAGGGTTCGTACCACGAATCTTACCAGCTGGCTCAGAAGGCTGACATGAACAACAGCGAGAAGGGAGTCGACTCAAATGTCGTTATCCTGAATGATGTTCATGTGGACATCATGGACTACATCAAACCGGCTCATTGCACAGAGACCCAATTCCGTACTATGTGGACCGAATTCGAGTGGGAAAACAAGGTCAATATTAACTCCAAGGCCAAGTCTTTGCGTGATTTCCTCAAGCAATTGATGGCATGCACAAATATGAGCTGTCTCACCCCGGAAGCATCAATGAAAGGCGACTGCCAGTTCTTGTCAGCTAACCTGTATGCAAGGAGCGTATTTGGTAAGGAACGAAGTCCCTTTTCTATTGGAGCGATACTGATTACTTTCAGGTGAGGATGCTCTCGCCAATCTTAGTATTGAGAAGGAAGGGGAGAATGGACCTGTAACTGGGTTCGTGCGCATCCGAAGTCGGTCACAGGGTTTGGCCTTGAGTTTGGGATCATTGAAGGGGCTCAACAAGGTTGGTGGATCGTCATAATGTACGTTGAAGAGAAGCTCGGCAGAAATGAGGCAAGCTGCAGAAGGGATAAAGCCCAACCCCTGTAAGCGTATAAGGGTATTTGTTCATAGAGTGTGGGACAATCTGAGATTGAGGCCATCCTTTGTCTTTACACAAGCATCACGGGGGTTAAAGCGACGTTCTAGGTATGAAAAGTCATGAACAAGGGGCATTGGAGGTTGGTAGTGTGTAGCATTGGAGTATCTCTCAAGACATGAAAGTTCAATAATGGGCAAGGTTCAAGAACATATCTAAAATCACTTACAAGCATGAGAAGGGCCAGTATGTCACTAGGTCAAGCATTTGATGTGGACTGATTATGCATCACGAGCGTTCGCGATACGGTTTCCTCTTTAGGCGATGCCTCGGCTCATCCTTCTGTTCCAAACGGACCTGTTTCCTTTCTTTGTGACGCCAAACCCTCCGAAGTATCCGCTTGCTACGCATGGGGAAGCTTGCTGCTGACCTCTTCTACCTCTTCCCCTCCTCCTCAGCAATGCAGACATACACAGACATACTTTCATGACCATGGCGCTTGCCGGAGAGGACGACCCCTTCAAGGACCCTTCGCTCGCTGGCTCACAAACACCTCAGCCTCAACAATCCAACCATGCGCCAGGCACTACGCTCGCTGTCGGCAGAAACGCCTCCCTCACGCTGGCAACAGATTCATTAGTTGTTCTAGGTGCGACTCTTTTGCTTTCTGTCACTAATGCGTGCTCACTGCCATTCTAGACGAAGGATTGCTAGAAACCAGAAGCGCGAATTGCTGCGGAATCAGTCTTCCACATTTACCATTACACAGTGAGTTCCATGTGTTTTACACATTCGGAGAGAGGTAACTAACATCAGAACAGAGAACAAAACTACACGGTCCATTCCATTCTTTAACATACTCTGGGCCGAGCTTTCCAACAATGGAGAGATTGCGATCCAATACGCACATATAGTATCGAAGGAGACAGTCCGAGTTGCGTGCATAAACTACACACTAGAGAAAACAGATTCTGGATACATTGATGCTTGGATAGAGAGACTGCTCGATCGCGCTTATGGGGCGTCACAGCGTCGGAAACGGATCAAGGTGCTCGTAAACCCGTTCGGCGGGAAGGGGGGTGCTCAGAAGATATACCTCCGACATATCGCGCCCATATTCGCAGCCGCTCAATGTGAGATCGACGTCGAGGTGACACAACATAATGGTCATGCTGTCGAAATTGCGGCCAAGCTCGACACTGAAGCTTACGATGTTATCGCGTGCTGCTCGGGAGATGGAATACCTCATGAGGTTTTCAATGGATTGAGCAAGAAGGGAGACGCTGCACGAGCGCTGGCAAAGGTCGCTGTAGTACAGTTACCTTGCGGTTCAGGAAATGCGTTGAGTTTGAACATGAATGGCACCGACAGTCCCAGTCTTGCGGCTCTAGCTGTCGTCAAAGGGCTGCGGACTCCTCTGGATTTGGTCTCCGTAACGCAAGGCGATAAACGTACTCTATCTTTCCTGTCTCAGTCCGTTGGAATCGTTGCCGAGACAGACCTAGGAACTGAGTATCTCCGCTGGATGGGAAGTGCGCGCTTCACATGGGGCTTCTTCGTCCGCCTCGTAGGCAAGACGATCTATCCTGCAGACATAGCTATTAAAGTTGAAGTCGACAACAAAGCCTCGATTCGACAAGCCTATGGAGCTGAGTCCTCCAAGCCTCCCCCAAGTCACGACGCGCGACCCGTTCCCACTGCCGACACCGGCCTACCGGCTCTCAAATACGGAACCGTCAATGACCCTCTGCCCGAATCATGGGCCCTCATTCCCCACGACAAGCTAGGTAATTTCTACGCCGGCAACATGGCATACATGTCTCCAGATGCGAACTTCTTCCCGGCATCTCTTCCCTCGGACGGCTGTCTTGACCTTATCCGCATTCAAGGCGATATTAAGCGCCACACCGCTATCGGTACTATGCTTGCCATCTCCAAACATACGTTCTTTGATCTACCGCATGTGGACTATCAGAAGATTTCGGCGTATAGGATCATCCCTAAGAATCAGGCTGATGGATATATCAGCATTGATGGGGAGAGGGTTCCTTTTGAACCATTTCAGGCGGAGGTACATAAAGGGCTGGGGACTGTCTTGAGCCGGAGTGGGCATATGTATGAGGCGAAGGGCGTCTGAGGAGAGGCAGTACCGGAAGGCATGAGTTGTATTAATAGGGTGCAATAGCAGGATTAGAGGGATGGAGCACAGCAGCCGGGAAGAAGAGGGGATGGAGCATGTGGTATCTGGTGGTATTGGGATTCAGGCGTTTCCGTGCTTTTGATATTATTCTGTATCATCAGTCTCTCTGAATTTCCTTTGTAGAATCAAAATACCCAAGGACAGAACTGTACAGGACCATGTCCATTTCCTATCTTGATGTTCCATTCCACTGCTTCTTGATCTGCTTCACTTCTCTGTTCTGTGTTGAGTCATTCTAAATCTTCGTGTTGCACCGCCTAGTCATTGTTCCAAGGTTCTTCCTAACCTTCATTGTGGCCGTGCTTTCTTTCCACGCTGCCGAAGAAAGACCCACCCTTCCCGAGGCGCTTTTCTGTTTTGCCTCGCCACATTGACTCATTATATATATACAAATTAGTTTTTAAATTATCTCAAAACCAGCTGAATGGCGTAGTGGAAGCGCGCCGGGCTCATAACCCGGAGGAGTAAGTTCAAGTCTGCGTACTATTCTTCAGAATTCATTATCTAACGGTATAAAGCAACGGATCGAAACCGTTTTCAGCTATTAACGCTGTTCGAATCTCTTTTTGCGCTCTTCGCTATTATTTAATTATCAATTTTTTACCATTCTGACGAGATAAGGGGCGTGAGTCACGATTGTTGGATCACTGAGTGGAAATTTCTGGCATCGAGTGTAAAGGTATGCCTCTGATTATGAAAGTGATGTCTTCTATACCCTAGTATAGTCCACAAAATCAATTCCCTAAACTATGGATCAAAGTAGAGAGTGGAACGAAATTCTCTCCACCTGTAAGTTGCATATTCAATATCACGTGACACCCGTTACACCTCTTTTCAAGGTAAAGCAGCAGCTCAAGGACAGCAATAACGTACGCGGAATTCTATAGATGCCATACATTGATATCTCACTCAGAACCCTTAAGTAAATATGATCAACATATCAATACCAACATCGGGGACATCCAATCATCTTTTCGTCGACGGTGAAGATCAAGAGTTGTCTATGTCTCCTCTTCTAGCGACTTCTTTGTTGCCTCCGCCATTAAAAATTTATCCTGGATATTTGAACCCTCTCCATGAAAAGCGTATTTAACGATCCACTCCTCCCCACCGAGAGGAGCAGAAGAGTCCGAATCTATTAAACTTTCTAAGTAGGCCTATCTTAATCCTAGATGCTGTTGGTGAGTATCTAGAACAAGTCCTGGTGGTACGAATTACATGTTTACTTTGTACACAAGAACTGAAGCCGTTAACTTCTTTGTGCACCTAAGTTTGGAATCTGGATATGGCATGAAGGAGAATAGCTGGGTCGAACATATGGATGGAAAAAGTAAAGGCCAAGGCTACTTTCCAGCCGTAAAGATAGCACCCTCTAGTCTCTGTGCTTGGTGCTATGATGCACTGTAATGCCGATTTGCCACTCTTTCCTCTCCGAGCGAGAAGTAGAATGTGGAGCCAAAAAGTGGAACATCACAAAAGAACGGTATGGTCATAGCGGGTCTTATGGACTCCAGTTCATTCGTATGCCAGTCGTAAAAGTCATCTGAATGCTCCCATAGCATCGAACGCCCTCCATTGACATCAATACTCCTAACCCTATTGGTATTCTCCAAGACCACTATCGCTCATCGCTAGCCGCGCTCTGAAGCATGAAAGGATTTGGAGTTGCCTATTTCTTGCCAGACTTCTTGATTCCCTGTTGTCCAGAATTCATAGGTCCTTTGCCCTTGGCCTTCGCGGCCATTTCCTCTCGTGCCTTCTTATCTGGATTCAAAAATCGTCAGCCCAATTCCTCCTCTACTCCTCCGGTAGACAGAAAGATAAGGTGCGATGGGTACGAACCGGCTTGCTGCTTTGCCTTGAATGCAAGATCATCGTCATCGAGCTCCTTAGCCTGCTTCTTAGCCTTCTTGTTGTGGATGGGGTTTGTGCCGGCTGGAAAGTCTCGCTGTCAGCATCGGTCTCATTGAGTGAATGTGGGGGCAGGGTGTGCCTACTTCCTTGTCCTGATGGCATTTTGAAGGTTTTGAGGGTAGTAGTCTTAGGTCAGTTGGAGGAGAGACGGTGTGCTCGCACTTTACGGTGAGACCAGGATCGTGTTGGAGTTCAGATGCAGGGCTGAGAAAAAGTGGAATGAAACTAAGGCGGAGCAAGAGAGTGGCTAGTGAATGTGGCGCACGTGTATGTGGTGAATAGTGAACCACAATCATCAGACTTTCATACTACAGTGCCCAAAGCTCATTTGCTATTCGGTCCTCCCGATTGTCGGAGTACAGGCGCCATGAAATAGGTAATTACACCATCATGCCGTCCACAAAAAAAGTGGCATACACGTAGCATGAGATTGCCAACACAATTGGGTGAGACGCAGAAAGGACCTAGTGTCTGAGAGATGGTGCCCGCAATAAAGCGTATGATAAGGAAGCGCTAGAGTCGTCAATGGTGTTTTTGGTCTGTCACTTCCTTCTGTAACCAGACACGAAGACTGCATGGCCTCCAACACCCTTCCTCAGGCTTAACGCTACCTATGGTTATGGCTACAGGAAGCTTTATAGAGCTACGTCTAGGTGTCTAGACAGAAGCATTCAAGATTCGAGTGGAAATCTAGGGTAGGGCGCAGGGTCAAGTCCAAGGGTGTACTTTCGTATACTGAGCACCCTTCATCTTTCATTCATATCGCTTGCAGACTTGAATCAAGAGGATCACCAAAATGTTTTAGACCTGACAATTTTGACTCTCCCACTTCTCGCGAAGGGCGTTAACATAAGCCTAATGCTAAATCACTAAGCAGGGAGGATCCCATCTACCTCATGACGCGGAAATTCTTCAAATTATCACCAAGACGCTGTCTGTACATAGTGTTACATTCCCTCCAACAGTCAGCAGTTTCGGCACCGAGTTGAACTATTTGGGTTTGGCAAAAGCTTTCTTTAGCCACCTCAGCTCCTCCTGCAAAGCTTGTAATGCGAGCGGCTGGAAAGAGTGTTCTGGCATGCCATCTGCTAAACACGCTCAACGCCTCAAGGAAAACCTGCCGAATTCGGGTCTATCATCCGAGAATCAAAGCTTCGTCTTACATTGGCGTCGCGGGTGCGCGGCTAGAACACTAGTCTTCGCCTCGGCCCTTCCCAGGATCATTTATTTCCCAAAACGATGTACAAACATGGTACAAGATGTCCGACATTCTGTTCCTTCATTGGTGGAAAATACATCTCACGAGAATCAACGAAGGAAGGCCACCAAGTTCTACAACATGTGGAGATGCCAACGACGCGTGTTCCAGAGTTCGGGGCCCCGGATTTTGCTATCGTGAACTATCGAGCCTAGAGAATGAGCTCGAGATAAGAAAATGCTATGATTCGTGTGATATTATGAGAGGTGCAATAGTGGATCCCTCAACCTAGTACTTGCGTCCCGGCTACTGGGAAGGCAAGGGGCAGTTGGATGGCGGGTGGCACCCTGCTCATGACTAGTTTTCTATCAGTGGACATTTATAACTTCGAGGATGCTCCGCATTTCCTCGATAGATGACCAAGCTTTTTCCTTCGTCTGCATGTCTTGCTGCTGTCCTGTGTTGAAACTTCCTTCTTCTGTCTAAATCTCTCTTCTCTCACCAAGCTTACTAAGGAGCATTTTGCCCATCATGGTTTCATCTAAGAGGATTTACAACTGGTACATTAGTCTTGTGGCAGCATCCTGCATGGTCCTCTATGGCTACGATGCTTCGGTATTCAATGCTGTCCAAGGTTCGAAGAACTGGGTTGCGTATTTTGACAAGCCCGTGAGTACCCAATGGTTATACTAAGAGAACTATTTCTGATATTTGATTAGGACTCACAAACGATCGGAGCCATCAATACAGCGTATACAGTCGGCGCCATTGTAGCAGGTTTCTTCTTAGGAGGACCGGTAGCAGATTATTGTGGACGAAGGATTGGAATGGCAGTTGGATCTCTTCTTGTCATAGTTGCGACTTTTATCCAGACATTCTCCCCTCGCCATAACGTCGGATGCTTTATTGGAGGTCGAGTCATTATTGGTATAGGACAAGGTCTTGCATTGAGTAAGTATCATCTTTGAAATGGGAATTCTAACTAATGAGCTAAAGCTGCTGGACCTATCTATATCGGTGAATTGGCTCCACCGGAGATTCGTGGCACCATCATGTCGTTCTGGCAGATGTTCTATAGTGTCGGTAGCTTCATTGCGTGCGTTCACTCCTACCTCCTCCTCCTCCTGTTCTCTGCTAAACCTACGTTAGCTACTGGGTCAACTATGCTTGCTCCAAGAACTTAAAATCCTTGGGCGAGTGGGACTGGAAGATGGTTGTTATCTTCCAGTTATTGATGCCTATTATCATCCTCGCTCAAATCTTCTTCATCCCGGAAACGCCCCGTTGGTACATCCAGCACGGAAACCGCATAGAGGATGCGCGCTCTTCCCTTCACCGTGTTCGTGATACTGAACAGGACATCGAGGACGAGATTTTGGCCATTCGGGAGGCCATTGAATTTGAGAAGGAGGCGATCTCCAGTGGCTACGCTGCTCTCTGGAAGGACAAGTCTATCCGGAAGCGCATGTACCTCGCTCTCCTCCTCAATGCTGGCCAACAGATTACTGGACAAGGGACACTTAATACCTACAGTACGATTGTGTACAAGAAGGTATTCAAGGATGCTTCCCAGATTGCCTTGATCAACGCTTTAAACGCCACATTCGGTATTATCTTCACTCTGAATGCTACCTGGACTGTCGATCGCTTTGGCCGCAAGTTCTTGTTCATTGTCGGCGCCATTGGTATGGCGGTCTGTATGCTTATTGTCGCTACTGTTGAAACACAGACGCCTAGCCCTGGTGGAGCTAAGACAGTTTCCGTTGGCATATCCATTGTTTTCCTCCTTTTCCTCTTTGCGTTCTTCTGTAAGCTTTCCCTTCTCCTTCTACAACCACATACAACTAATACGTCGGTTTAGACAAACCTTCCTGGGGAGCAACAACTTGGATTTTCACTTCAGAGATCTTCTCTATGAACGTCCGCGCCCAAGCCGTCGGCATGTGCTCGCAGACCCAAAACGTCGCCAACTCTATCGTCCAACAGTTCTTTCCAACCTTCCTCGACAACTGCGGATTCTACGCCTTCTACATGTTTGCTGGTATCAATGGCCTCTTAGCCGTTTTTGTCTGGCTTTGTGTCCCGGAGACTAAAAAGGTTTCTTTGGAGGAAATTGATACACTGTTTGGAGGGACCAATCATGTTGAGAAGGGTGCGGAGATTGTGGGTGTCGAAGACCCGCATCATGCGAGGTTAGAGAGCGTGCATATTAATAATGACGGGAAGGGTGAAGCCATGATAAAGCAGGAAAAGTAACGAGTGGGGGGAGACTTCGCTGTAGCAGAGAATTCGGAGGTCCGTATTGATAGTCCGAATACTGCCCAAATGGATCTCCGAAAATAAAATATATAATTCTTTGATATTGAATAGCGCATGCAAAATGAAGGCCATTTCTCTCTCAGCCTGTTTTTGCACTCTGCGATTTCGCTGAA